GGTCGAGCAGAGGGAGGGAGACAATGAGGAGATGAGAGCGATTGAGGAGGAAGAGAGGAATGAGGAGAGAGGATGGACGATGACGTGGAGAGTGGATGACGAGAGAGATGACGTTGGAGAGAGGAAAGTACAGAGAGACGAGAGAGAGAGATCTGAGAGGGAGAGAGAGAGAGAGAGAGAGAGAAGAAGCAGAGAGAGAGAAAGGAGACGAGCAGGGAGATGTTGCCCGGCCCCAGGCATGATCTGAGCGGAGGACGACGCGAGAGCGAGGACCTCTCGTCACCAGGACGGCACATATGGAGTGCTCCGAGACCTCGAATGAGAAACGTCAGATTGAGATGACGGCACTGGAGTCCCCCTGCGGTACGTCAGAAGGAGCCGAAGGAGGGGGGAGAGAGAGAGGAGACTTCTGATCAAGAGGAAAGACTCGACAGATATGAGAGAGAGAGAGGATTTGACGAGAGGAAGACGACGGATCCTTCGCAGTTGTGACCCCGCCTGCCACTTCAAGAAGGAGGCGAGAGAGAGATGCGGGAGAAGGAGGGGAAGAGAGACAAAGAGGGAGCGAGAGAGGGAGAGAGAGGGAGAAAAGAGAGTGAGAGAGAGAGATGAGAAGAGAGAGGAGACGAGAGAGAGAGAGAGAGAGAGAGGAGAGAGAGAGATGAGAGACGAGAGAAGAGAGAGACGAGGTGGAGAGAGAGAGAGAAGAGAGAAGAGTCTGAGGAAACAAGGGTTTGCCTTCCTGCGTCTCCACTGCTAGGGACCCGCGACCAGCGCTCGAAGCCACACACAGTTGACCCAGCACACTTGACCGGGGCCCACGGCCCTGACCACACCTCTCCTTGGGGGCGCTCCCCCACGCGCGCCCCGCTCGGCGCCCCTCTTGGGCTTCCTTGCCCACAACAACCCGCGCCACGCTACCTTCCAGCCACCTTCTATCAATAAACAGCTGAACCAGAATTGTGTCTCCCTAACCCACCAAATCAGGGCAACACAAAACCCCTGACAGAGAGGGAGAGCGAGAGAGAGAGAAAGAGAAAGAGGGAGGAGAGAGAGAAAGAGAAAGAAGGAGGGAAAGAGAGAAAGAGGAAGAGAGGGGGGGGAGAGAGAGAGGCGGAAAACGCTGATAAATGAATGCAAACTTGTACTCTACTTTTCTCCTGTGCAAAGGCCATTTGAAAACAAAGAAGCAATCTCAAAAACGCCAGCAAACAAACAAAACCAACTCACGTCCATCCCCCCTGCGCCGCCTGCCCGTAGCTTTGGCTGCCGGACTCCTGGCGGGCGATGCCGTTGCCGGTCTCGAAGTCGAAGGAGTATTCCCCGTACGCGTTCTGGGTCCTGTCGTCCTTCAGGATGGGGATGTGGTATCCTACGGGCCTCGGATACCCTGTGTCTCCGGATACCACAGCGGCGGCCACAAGGAGGATCTGAGGAGAGAAGAGCGGGAAAGGAGTTGAGAGAGAGGAAGGCGTCGGGTTGGGACGGAGACGCGTCAGGGAAAGCGTCGCCGCGGGTCCTGGTAGGTAATGATTGACAGATTATGTCCGTGGAATGTCGATGTGTGAAGACAATTGAAGGTTTTACGTACTGGAAATTCTTCAAGGAATCAAATGGGTCATGAATATATGTAAATTAATATGGAATGAAAGTGAAAATTTTAAGTCCAGAAAGAAACTGATGATCAATAATATCAACAGATTTTATAAGCCAAAAAAGTAGAGTAAATATTAAAGAAAATAGTAAACGGAATAAAAGCAATAAAAAAGCACCCAAAACATTAATGGAAGTTCACTAACAGCGCAAACAGACAGCGTGAGGGAAATCATCTTGAAGTTCCAATCGCTTCCTTCCTGAGATAACTGAGGGAATCTGGAACAGCCAATGCACAACTGACGAAGGAGAAGCTGAAGAACCACCTTATATGGAGAGCAAAAAGCCCCCAGACTCCGCCCTCGTCCTCTCCCTTTCCCTTCCCCAACGGTGACAGTGTGACAGCATCACCACCATCACCACCATGCCGTCACCATCACTCCCACTTCACCATCACTCGGTTTCCCATTCGCTGTCCTGATGTTCACCGGGCGAGAAGCGCTTTGCGGTGGGGGGTCGGGGGGGGGGGCGGGGGATGGGTGAGGATTGTTCTGCGTATTGGTAAGGGGGTGGCTTTGGATTCTTATGAAAGCACGCACGCTACATACATGCACATACAAACATACATACACGCGCACGCATCCACATTCACACATAAGCACACGTACAAACACATCTACATTCACACACACATGTTTCATATGGTAATCTCTCAAACACATGCAACAAGAAAACCAGCTGATATCAGCTTTAAAGTGACGTAAATATAAAATGAAAATAAGATGTTGGGAGTAATAAGGATATCAAGTATAAGAATGATTACGAGTAATTCAATAATGAAGATGATGATGATATAAATGATGGTAATGATAACGATGGTGATAATGATATAATGACAATAGTTGAA